GCCCATTAGCCATTCAGGCCGACAAAAGCCCGCGGCCCCGCGCATTGTCCCGCCGGGCGCCCGGCCGCTGTCATTAGCCCTGATTACGCTGAGCCGCCTGACAGCCCGGCCGCCGCGCCGCGGACCCATTCAGCGCGCCCCCGGCCCCCGGCACAATGCGAGCGGAAGCCGGCCGCGCCCCCGCGCCCCGGCTGAATGGAGCGGAAAGCTGCTGCGCGCCTCCTCCCGCCCCTTCGCATTCTCCTCGGATACAATATTTTTTTCCTTTTTGTTGGAATTAGGGAGAGGGAACGAGGTCAAGAAAGACTGCTTGAGCTCTTTGCCTGTCATTTGTTTAATGTAAACAAAGAACAAGTCCTCCCTCACCCCAGCCTCTCTTCCCCACCCTCCCAGGTTTTTATAAACAAACTGGAGAAGGGACAGAGGAGCGGCGGGCGGAGGCCGAGTGAGTCGTTAAAGCCGAGGGCAGAGGAGCAGAGGCGTTCGGGGAGGAAGGGCCGCCGCTCCTTTTGGTGGGAAGAAAAGGGGGGTGGTTTGAAATAGTTACAAGCGGTAACAGAGCCTGACCGAAGGCCGGGGATGAAGTCTTCATCTTGGTTAGGTCTGCTGTAATTTAAAAATACTTCTTTCTACGCTGGTTTTGGGGGGAAATTGTGACAGAGAATTGCAAAAGAAAGAAACTCGCCAGAAGGAGATTTCTCCAAATCCAGAACGTTCAGCCTTTTGTCTGCCTGGAAGTTTTGTTTTAAAATCCTCTCTAGGCCAAGATGAAATTAATACGGAAAAAATCCTATAAAGAAGACTATAATATATATATATATTTATAAGAGGATTTAGATGGTTAAATACATCTCTGTGATTTGGACTAATTTCCAACGCTGGTTGATTATTCACAAAGGTAGTGAAGTGCCACCAGGTTTCAGCTAAGCATTTAAATGCGTCACCACTGTAAGATTCTAAAATGAAATTAGATGAATCCATCTTCAGATTATTGAAACAGTATAGTAGGTATGTGGAAGTATAATCCTTAGGCAGCTAATTTAAGTACGTGGTAAGTGCCATTTAAAGGCTTTTGCCAAAGCACAAACTAAAATCCTTTATCACCATTCAGGGTTGTTTTCTCCAAGCAAGTATCACATAAAAATTATCTGGTAAGGAGACAGCTTAGTTCTTAGCAATGCAATCCTATTTTCTTGAGATTTCGAAAGGACATTTCTTTCTGGCTATAAGCATCATTTAAACTGGTGAGTGGGTTGGGATCTTTAGAATTTAAAATTCCTTTAAAAATCATTGCACTAATTAGTCCTTTCTTTTCCCTTTTGGTCCTGGAATCATCACACTAAGAGATAAACTCTGCCAATAAAGTTCTCCAAGTGCCAGTTCTGGTCCGCTCCATAGCTAGAATGGGGTAGAGCTGGGGCACATGATTGGGACTTCTTGAATTTTTCACTGAAGTGCAGTACAGCTTGGTAGATCAGGACTAGGGTGAGGTAGGAGAGGCACCTAGACTGCAAAATTTAAGGAAACACTCAATCCAGGTGCCTGGCATGGGGCTGACCTTGAGAATGAGTGTCCCATTGAATTTTGTGTCCAGGTGCTTTCCTCGCCTGACCAGGGTCCGAAGCTGCCCTCTGACGGTGGAGGAACTACCTGGGGCTCTCCAAGTTAACAAAATTGAGCTGGAAGGGGCTCTGCCATCTCAGCCTCAGGACCCACATAAGAACATGTGCTTGCTTTTGGGAAGAGCACCAGCTCCATCACAAAGACATCCCCCAACCCCAAGGGTTCTCTGGATAAGGGCCGCTGTACACAACGACAGCCGACAGCGGTTTATAAAGTCCAGATGAGCCAAATCTACTCAAGCAATTTAGAAACCAAGCACCAATCACGGCTCCTGCCCCAGGCTTCCAAAGTATACCCTGTCATGTGACTGCTTTTTGTCTTCCTTGACTTCATTGTTTTTGTTTGCTTTGCATTTCTGCCTAAAGAAGTTACCAGCTTCTGACCCAAAGAGTATCTTCTAAAGACAGAGAAGCAAATTGAAAGGACTCCAGGGAGATAGGGAGGGAAGGCCAGCTCAAGTGATTTAAAGATCAATGTCAAATTTTATAATAGCTAATCCGTTTCACTAAGAAAAAAGCTTAGAGACTCTTTGGTTAGCATTTACTTTCTTAGAGTCAGGACAGTGGTGTGTGTGTGTGTGTGTGTGTGTGTGTGTGTGTGTGTGTGTATGTATGTAGGAGGCAAAAATTAAATGCTAAGAGTACTTGTTATTTTTAATTGAGGCTATTGCCAGGACAGTGAGGCTCTTGATTGTTTCGTGTTTCATGTGGAAGTCAGATTTTTAAAACGCCAGTCATTTCTCTGGAGCCTTGTTTTACCTCAGTAATGACCAGTTTACATATTATCCCTTTCCTGATATTTCTGTTATTGAAAATCATTTGTTTGATTAAAACTGGCTTCTCTAGCAAGAAGATACTAGACTAGTTATTCACACCTTCTGCTATGCTTCTCTTGTATACAAGCTCAATTTCAAGTGCAGTTTACTCAGAACGATCCTGGCCAGTCGCTGCGTTTGTATGAGAGGGGGGGATCTCAAAGGAGCTTTATCTGTTGCAAAGCCCATATCAGATAGTTTTGCATTTTTATAAAATAGTATTTACTACTAGATCCCAAAGTTTGGTTTCCCAAATTATTCCTCAAAGCCCTTAACACTTCCTAAAAGTAAGTGCCAGGTGGACAAACCTTAATTTCTTGTGCTGGAGATGTGGTGAGTTCCTTACAGGGCTTGCTGTGTTGCCAATATCTATCATATATCTATATCTATATCTATATATGTATGTGCACATGTACATACATACATATACATAGTTTGACGTCGCAGGCGGTTATGGACCTACCATTGGCTGTCTCAAAAGTACACCAGCAAACAGTAGAGAAGGTGTATGACACAGAGAAGGCCCTGTGAGACTATTTGCTCAAGAATCCGTCCCTGCATGCCTGGTAAAAGGAATAAGAATGCTAAGTTATTTTTTGAGTCTCAGATAGCCGCTCCCTTAATTAAGAAAGTTCATCCACCAATTTTCTTTTTATTGTTTGGCTTCTCCACAAGAAACATATCAGAGAAACCTACCTGTCAGTCTCTTAAATAAGTAAACAGTATATATGTATATATATAGATATATATATATGTTTTGTTTAAAAAAAACATTTAAAGCAAAAGTTATTTAACAGTGTCCTTTGACATGAAATACCCACAGGAGACTCGGTAGGTGCTCAGGGTGCAGTCCGGGTTCCGAAGGCGGCTTTGCTGCAAACCCCTTAGGAAAAAGCAAAGCGAGGAGAACGTGGTGCCGGTCCGGCCTCACCGCGGGCCTCTGCGGTCTGGCCGAAGGAGCCGCTGGAGCTGGGCGACACTGCGGCGGAGGTTGCAACCCGCGGGCCCCTGGCCGCCTGACTTCGCCAGCGCTGGATTTTCTGGTCTCCTATGCTGCCCTTCTCCATTTTGTTTATCTAATTTTTACACTGGATTCTGCGTCTGAGCGTGCTGGTTGGGCTCATATGTCGCATTCGCTGTCGCTGGAGGTGATGGAGATGGCCGAGGTGGCTGCCTTGCTGGATAGACTGGCAACGGGGCTGGAGGCAACGCCCAACATCTCCGGCGTCCCCTCGCCCTCGGCCCGCAGCGCCCGCCCGGAGCCTTGCGACAGAACCTGCTGCTGCAATCTATGGAGAAGGAAGGATACGGGTCACGGCACTGCGCCGCCGCTGGTCGTCCCCGGCCCGGCCCGCGGCGCGCGGCCCTCCAGCCTCGAGGCCCGACCTGCTTCCTCAGACCCGGGCAGTTAAGGTGGGGACGGCGGGGCGAAGGGGGTCGCTTGGGAGGCGGGCGATGGACCCGGTGGGTGAGGGGGCGGCTGCAGCTGCCTACGCCTCCTTCAGGCCTTTTCTGGCCTCCTCACATCCCCTGTCTTTGGAATGCTGGACTTTCAGCTGGGAACGTCTTTCCCAGCTGTTTTCCACTTTTGGGAGATTTACAGGACTGTCTGGAATATACCTGAGGTGTGGGTGATTAGGGCAGATCAGGCTCCAGGACCTGGGACTCCCTTTCATCAGGGCACCTTCCTGGGACTCGAGCGGGAGCAGTGCCCCTGGGGCCGGGTCTCCGCGAGCTAAAGGCAATCATTGCTGCCAGAGGGTTGCACGGAGACTTTGGACCTGGGGCGCTCTGGGCCAAAACGTTGGGCTAATCGAGGTGCACACACCGGGACTGAAAAGCGTAGGACAGTGCTGTAGTTTGCTCTTTCGAGACAAGGTTAGTCGCACGTGGGAAGAGGACAACTTTCTACTTCTTAAAAACAAGAGTCCTTCGAGAAGGGTTCTCAAAACGTTGGAGAGGGGTGCACTTGGGCTTTAAGAACGGTAACACGAGGCCAACAGACACATTGCTAATAAGCCAGGCCTCACTTAAGAGTAGAAGGCTAGACCCGAGCGGGCAAGAATTAGCTTTGGCCTTGGGGTTCCTAATTGCTTCTGGAATTTTAATCTTTCTCTTCCCTATCAAGCCTTGGTTTGGGTCACAGGGACCAGCTGCTGCGGGACCGAGGCTCGACAGGGCGAAGAGCCAGGAGCTTCCCGTAAGGGAACCCGCGCACAGGGGCCTTGAGCTCTGGCGCGTGAACCGAAGGCCACCGCGCTCCCAGCTTCAATACCAGGCCAAGGCGCCAGGAACACCTCCCTCCCGCCCGCTCCCGGTGCGCGAGCAAACCGCGGAGGCCTCTAGTACCGACCTGTTCTTGGCTGCAGCCGCCCGGTCCCTTTGTCGGCGGTTTTTGAACCAGTTGCCCACCTGCGTGGGGGTGAGTCCGGTGGCCTGGGCGAGCTCACGTTTTTTGCTGGGGTTGGGGTATGGGTCCTGCAGGTACCACTCGCGGAGGAGGTGCCGCGTGCGCTCCTTGAAGCAGTGCGTCTTCTGCTCGCCGTCCCAAATGGTACGCGGCAGCGGGAACTTCTTCCTTACGCGGTACTTGTCCACCGGCCCCAGGGGCCGTCCGCGCAGCTTCTCCGCCTCCTGGTAGTGCGCTTCGAGCCACAGTGCCTGCAGCTTGGCGTGCGACTCCTTGGTGAACTTGTGGTTTTCCAAGATGTGGTAGAGCTCGCGGTAGTTGCCACCGTGAAAGGCCACGATGGCTCTGGCGCGCAGCACCGACTCGTTCTTGTTGAGGGCCTCGCAGGCCGCAGGGGCCACGGGCAGCGACCACAGGAAGCGACCCAGGCGCTCCACATCGCCGCTCTCCTCCAGCGTCTCGCACACCCCGGCCACTTGCTGGGGGCTGAAATTCAGGATGGGCAGCTGGAACATCGAGGCAGCGATGGCAGCAGCGGGGGCGCTGAGCCTGGGACGGGACACACAGCAGACGTCCTCGGGCCGGGCAGGGTGCGCCAGGCTCTTCTCGGCCAGCAGACTTGAGGTGACGCGGCGGGACAGCGGCCAGAGCGAGCGTCCCGACTGGAGCAGGTGCGGGCTGCAGGCTCGGGCTCGGCTCCCTCCCGAACGCACCCAGGCCGGCGGGCGCGGCTACTGGGGTGGGCGGATTGGCGGCGCGGGCGCCATGGAGACCCCCTGTCAGTCACCGGCCGGTTCTGCCAATCAAGGCTGCGGCCAGAGCGCAGGGCACATTTCAGCACCTCCCAGCGCTCGACAGCGCCCGCCGTTCGCGGGTGGACTTTTCCTCGGTATTTTACAGAAGCTGGAGGAGGCAAAGCGGTGCGAGTGGCTGAGAGCAAAACGAGCGAGCGTGGCAGCGGTTCGCTCTCCCCTTGTCCTGCCCCTCCCTCTTTTCCCCCCCCACCCAGGCGCAGGGATGCTACAAGGATCACTTTGGATTTATGCGATGCCTCGGTGGAAAGGTCTCCAGAGGACAAAGAGGACTGGACACAATCAAAACCCTCCAAGAATTCGCAAGTATAGTTGTAACAAACAGCAAACCCTGCGTGGAGTGCACGCACGAAGGAGAGAGGGTATCAAAGCGGACCTTTCGTGCCTCCCAACACCCACCCGAGCTCGCCTCTCTCTTCCCCTTTTCCTGCTGCCAGAGCAGCTGAAGGGAAAGCAAATTTGGAATGGGAACAGGACCAGGGATCTGTAGAAGAGGTCAGTTTGGATTCCATGCCCATGCCCTTCAAAGTCTCCTGAAATAATGTTGAACTTGAGCAAGAACACTCGATAGCACAGACGTCAAGTTAAAACACTTCAAGAAAAGGGGGTTGTAGGAGTCTCATTCAGGTAAAGACTGTACTTTTTAGCCCCCCACTCCAGTTTGATGGATTTGAACAAATATGCAGCATATCCACATCTAGAGTGAGAAGTCATTGTTAGGTCAGGACAGCAATGTAAAAGTCTGTTTCAAAGATCTCCTTGAAAATATAGATCTGTCCCTTTCCTGCAGGCTAATTTTGCGTGTGTCCTGTGTTAGAACATGTAACTGGAGCTGGAGAAAGAAATCTTGGAATCTTTTTTCCCCCAAGCACGATTCAGTGAGAGTAAATTAGGGAGAGGATCCACAATAATGTGTGTGTGTGTGTGTGTGTGTGTATGTGTGTGTGTTTGTGTAGGGGGCTAGAAAGCACTTCCTGAGCCGATGGGTGTTGACCCTTCCTGCGGAGAAGAAGGGCCTTCTCTGCCCAAGCTGCCTTCTGGCTAGTAGATTGCATTGGCAACTTTTATTGATTCACAATTGACATCTACATCATACCATTTTCTGAGGCCTGGTTCAAAGAAACCACGATCTCATCTGGGCCTTTGATAAAGGTTTGTTTAATTTGAAGAAAATACTCTGTAGAGGGGATATCCAAAGGAAACGCCAGGAAGGCCTTGGCAGGCCTATTCCCAGAAAGAAATCCGATGGGAAAGTTCACCACCGAAGTGGACTGGGCCTGGCTGTCTTTTCTTTAGTATCAAGCACAATCTGTATGCGGCTTGTACAGATCTGGTAAATCAGAAGGCAGATAGATAGCACAGATGGTTGGAGGTGTCGGGTCAGATCATGCTACGCCTGAGTGCAGAGCAAAGCTCGTTCTGACGGAAAACCCTGATATTATTTTCACAGATCTTCACAGTTCACTCGAAAAAAAATAGCAGCAGGAAAGACAAAAGCCCTGGAACCATTTGCATCATTTCTGTGAGATCGCCGGCCGCCTCCTCGGAGGGGCTTTCTTTTCTGAGATCTCATTTTCTTGAAATGCTAAGGGTAGGGGCAAAATACAGAGGGCGATGAGGATAATGACAAAGCATAAACCTTCTCTAGCTCGGAGCGACTTCTGGATCAGTCAGAAGGACAACTTTAGTGAGAAGCAGCGCACACACAGGCCCAGAACACAAAGTCCGAGGAGAATCCAGGGTGTGAAAACCCCTCGGGCCTAGTGGACCCGCAGGGATGAGGCCGGACTCCCGGAGAACGGTGCTCCCGGGAGCCTCCGGCTAGGGAAGGGGGTCTTCCTCTTGCTCCAGTTTGCAGCGCTGTCCGCATTCGCTCCCGGAACGGCTCCCAGTCGGTGGCAGATCGCATCCCGTTCGCCCTTCGCGTGCGCGGGAGGTCGCGCTCCGGCGAGAGCGCAGCTCGAGAGCCCCGCGCGGGTCCAGCTCAGTGCGCGGCGCTGCGGCGCGGAGAGGCGGCCCGGACCCCTTTCCTAGCCCTGCCCAGGCAGGTTGTGAACGCAGCGCAATGGAAAACTGACTCTGTCTTTGCACTGAGCTGTTTCCAGTAGGAGGTTTTCATTTCAGTCCCTGTCCGAGAGCCCCATCCGAGAAATGGGAATAGTTGTGTGCATACTGGATACCCCGGCACTTTGGCCTTTGCGTCTGAGCCTCTGGGGCGCGGAGACGGACGGGTGCAGAGCGCTGCTCGCAGGAGGCCTCAGAAGCGCCTGGAGCTTGGGGTCTGCTGTGAGGAGGTCCTATCTTCGCTATCCCTAGGGACTTGGTTTAATTTTATTAAATCAAAGGAAATGAATGACCCAGGACATCTTGGAGCTTCACGCAGAGACGAACGGAAGGAATAAGTGGGCCGAGCTTTCACTCCTGGGAGAGGGAGCAACTTGCGGGGATTCCTTAGAAGTAGCCCTACTGGGGAAGCAGTGACCCTCACCCCACCCTTAGAGCGCAGCTCTCCGGGCTCTCTACTCCCCCGGAAGGCTGCAGATAGGAAAGTTCAGCACCTGCAGTTCTGGTTAGTTTTTCTTAATTTTACGGGAAAATAGATTTTAAAAATCATTTTGGGCCTTTGTGCCAGACCTCCAAGCAACCCCCAACTTCTGATCCTGATCCCAGACTTCAATCCCTCACCCTTCCTTGCCCAGGAAAGGAGAAAGCGCAGCCGCAGCCCTGGCCTCCGGGCTGTTGGGCGCCTTTGCAGTTTTCTGAGGGGAGCTGGCGGCTGGCTGCAGATGAAGACACGAATACATGCACTAACGTGGGACTACAGAGACATCTATTCTGCACCGCGCAGAATAGATGTACTTATTTCATGAGGCAAAATTTGAAAATAAAAGCATGTAGAAGATTCTGTGGACCTGGACAAAGTGCCCCAGGAGTTGTGAGGTTTATGCTAAAGTCTTTGGAGTTTAGGGTGTCACTTCTGCACACGTGGGGATCTCGCCCCGCGCTTTGCAGCTCCTGGTTTTGGGAGGTAGAGGAGAGGGATGCGTGGGCTCTGAGCACTCCCTGCTGAACTGCAGCTCACATTCCCCGGAGGAGCACACCGCTTACAAGTCAAGGCGTTCTTAGTCCCCATTTTGCCCTATCTTTTAATTGACTTTTCTTAAGTCAAAAGCCATAGAAACAGTGCTTTTATTTTCTTTCCCGCATAATTTTGAATTATCAGGGATTTTTAAGAATGTAGTAACAATGAGGCCCCAGTCCTTTGTGTGTCCATTTGGACTTTTGGGAGACATTCCCTTTCCTGTGCTCAGTGTTGATGGTGAGGGTTGATTTTTAATTTTTTATGTACTTCAAAATGTCCTTTAAAAACAATTATTTTAAATATTTTATTTATAGTAAAACATCTAGAAAGTTTTAAAAGGTATTTTACAGCCTGAAATAACAGGATTGAAATTTCAAACATTTATTCATTAACTTAGTATTCAGATTTTCAGATGATACTACCCTCACTTAAATGTATATTTGTTTTTGTATTTAATAGTCCAGATCTTAGTTTTGGATTGCATTCAGTGTCTTATTTTTAAAGCACTACCCTAGTAAACCTCAGGTATATTGCTGTATTTCATTTATTCTTTCTCTTGTCAGTAGGTCCTTTCTAACAAAGAACAAGAAGCCTTTTAATTGCTTACTCCTGAGAACATCATTTGAGAAATTTTGTAGATTTCCTGGCACTGCAAAATTAACTGACAAAAAAGCGTTGCAATGAAAATATTCATCTAATTTCAATAGATCAGGACTTTTTATTATTCACCAGCTGTTCTTTAAATTATGCAAAATTGCTTATTTTGTGAAGTAGAAGAAATTGTTACAAGTTTAAATATGGAAAACATGAGTAGTGATTAATCAGTAGTAATTTTAAAAACGATCAGCTGCCTCTACAATTCTCTTTTGAACTCTAGTTTGTGGTGGACCCAAGACATTTGGTTTAGAATTTGCATTTAAGCCAAAGAGTATATTACAGGTCACAACTCTTGTAATATAAACTGTGGTCTTAAATTCACTTTTTCTTCCTCCTACTTCTTTAGGGCAAGCCTAAACATGATCAGGACTAAGCACACTACAGCAGTGCTTACTTAGAGCTATGTATCAATGAGTTTTTGTCTGCAGGATTAATTCTAAAAAATGTAAACAGTCTGTTATCTATAAATACATTTTATCAGTAATTAAACATTAACTGAATGACTGAAAGAATGATTAATCACATTTCTGTACTGGAACATCTTTTTTTCCCAATAGCAGGCTGGTTTTGACCATTTTCAAGCCCAAATCAACCTATCTTTCTAAAGTATGCATAGAAACCTTAAAATTCAATGACATAAAAGAGTGTATGTTTAATGTTCTCTGGAATTCACCAAACATTATTCATATTAATTGTGTATATCATGTATATTTATTAGTTATCTGTTATTTCACTAAGTCATAATTTCTCTCTATATACTGTAAAGTCAGATAGAGATAGTAACTTTTAATAAACACCTTAAATTCTCTTCAGTTGATCCCTCTGGTTAGTAGAAAATTATTTTGAAAAACTGCTTTATAAAAATATTTTTATATAACAATTTACCATTCAAAGTAGGAATACTCAGCTCAGGGCAGTTTTCTTTCCACCTCTCTACTTCCCATGGACATTTGGCAATGTTTGAAGACATTTTTGGTTGTCACAATTGGTGTCTAGTAGCGCAGGCAGAGAGGCTGCTAAACCTCTTACAGTGGAACAGCCT